CGTGCAGTGTGGATCAGGAGAGTGGGTGTTCTCAATTTTAGAGCCAGGTAACACTGAGAATCGCTGTCTGTCCAGGCCTGTGGTCTTGATTATTTTTTGTCCTCCGTGTCATTTGCTTAGTGCCGTGTGTCATCCGTCACTGCCAGGCAGCAGAAGTGCATCACAGAGGATTAGAGGAAAGCCATTTTGTGCTTAGAAAATAATTGAATGAAGATTTACTTTGTGGCCTCAAGCTGCAGGATAGCTTCGTATTTTCAAACCTCTCATTTGGTTATATAAGCAGAGGTGACCCAAAGTCTTTGAAAATGAAAGCCCATTCAGAGTCGTAGAGGCCAGCCTGGGCTCGCTTCAGCAAGGGCTCCTTGATGGGCCAGGGGTCCAGCTCCAGGACACAGACCGTGGGGTAGGAAGAAGCTGCCAGGCCCTGTGTCTCTTCCTGCCTCCTGCCTGCCAAGGCCAAGCAGATACGTACGGCAAGCGTCCCGTGTGATCCACCGGACCCTCCATGCTCCCCATTCCCTTGCCCCACAGAACGTGGTGAGATGCAGACTTTCAGAATCCCGAACGATAGCACCTAACTGTTAGCCCAAGGAAGTCTGTGCTGACCTGGTGAACCCAGGGCATTCTCTTGTTCTATTCAGTGCTTTCCTCAGTCTTCAACTGCACTAGCAAGACGTCGCAAATGTTGGTGTTTTGTTGTCTTACCCACCTTAGTTTAGAACCTGAAACCAGAGGTCAAGGCCAGCTGTCAGGGATTTCGGAGTGTCTGGCCCTTGCTCCGTTTCCTGGGCAGCCGTTCCAGGCAGTGCTGCTTCTGCCTGGAGTCCGCTGCAGCCCAGCCCCTCTTCCCGGCCGCCCAGTCTCCCCGCAGCTGGGGCTGGAGTGAGCCGAGAGGGTCTCTGGCGCTCCCCCTCCTTAATCAGCCCCCATCCCCAGCGTGGGTGCTGGCACGTTCTTCATTAGGTCTGAATCTTGCGCCTTTGAACAGGCCTTGCAGGGTCTTTATCCCCTGATGACTCTCCTGGGGGAGCTGCTCTCTGGACCCTTCTCCCCCGTCTCCCGTTGGGGGAGTGAGTACAGGCACCTTAGACGTAAGGTGGGGCGAGAGGGGCCGCTGAGGCAGGTTGGGAAGAAGTGATTTTGGGGTGGGTGGGGTTTTTGCTGCCCTTTCGGATTATATTGTGCAGTGAGGGTGTGGTTCTTTTCAGGATAAAATTGGACATGCGATTTAAGGCGTACAGTCAATACACGGCCAGCTGGAGAGATGTAATTGCACTGACGGGTAAATGGGGATTGAAAGGACAGGTGCAAACAGCGAACTAGCCAAAGGGATCTGATAAATATGGATTTCCTTAAGTGTCCACCTGAATGAGATGGACAAAAAAGAGACGAAAGGCTCGAATGTTTGAATGATTAGGTAGGGAATCAGGATGCGCCTTTTCCCTTCAAAACACCACATCCATAACAAACTGTGATGAGGAAATAGGGCTCCCGTGGCCCTCTCCCTTTAGTGACTTATCATCCTAATCCCAGTGAGTGAAAGCTGACTCTGTCTGGGGAGAGCAAGCTGATGGGATTCATGTGAGCCGTCCGCGCTGCTTTATTATTCATCCTTAGGGAGTGGCGTGGAAAGCCCGCTGCTCTGCAGGCTGTTAGGAGTGAAGTGCTGCCCTTTGCAGTGTCTGGGCCCTGCCCAGGCTGCCAGGGGCTCTTTCCTCTGCTCCTTTACAGTATCCCCCTCGGGCCCCGGTGGTGCCCAGTGGGCAGCAGCCCGAGAGAGCCCCTTCCTCAGGTTATCTCTGCTTCTGAGAGGATGCTCCTATGAGATCTTGAGTGTTCACCTTCCTGTGGACGCTTCCCTCACTTGTCCAATTCTGCCTGCTCATGCCGAGCCTGCAATATTTTTATAAAACATGTACTTTTACAGTGACCTTGTATTATGACCACCTTAAAATAAAACTGTTTAAAAAGAAAACAGTCATGCTTTATCCTGCTTCCCTGACGTGCTTCACCCCCATCTTCATCCTCCAGGTTTCATATGTATACACCCGCATAGACACACACACACACACATACATATATTTATGTGTGTATATTTATTAAATATACTTAAAATTATGTTTTTATGGACCCATTTTCCTGGCACCCATGTGCAGAATCTTGGCATCGCCTTCAGCATCTTTTGCTCTCCTGTCCACCAGTGGACATGGTAGAGGGAAAGGGCTGTGGGGTCCAGCAAACCTTAGAGTCCTCGCTCCACTACATGGGGGAGGGTGACTGCACCTAAGACCCTTTTCTGTCTGCCCCGTTCATCTCTCCGTCCATCTGTCCTCTGCCACCATCTCTTCTGTCTGCAAACACTGTGCGCTTGTAACATGCTAGACGGCAGAGATCAGTACAGCGTTTTCCCTTCCATAAAATGTGGACGTCAGAGCATATTAAGTAGTGTTATGAGGACTCAGTGAGATCATGCAGGTGAAATGACCCATCAGAGTGACACAGAACAGGAGGCTCGACAAATGGTGTCTGTGGTCAGCTGGCAGGTCCCATCAGGTCTTCGATTTCCCGGATGTCTCTTACCTCCATCTCTTATAGACTGAATAGTGCTGGGTGACCGCTTTCATCCCCAGACTATACAGTGGGCTTCCACTGGCCCTTATGGCCTGATCTGTTCCAGTGGATTCTTGCCTCAGCACCATTGGCCCTTCAGAAGCACCGCTTTTGTCTGTTTTTCTGGCTCACACCTTTCGGGGCTGCCCATGCTGATCACAAATATCCTGAATGTCTTCCTGGCCCCTAAATGCGCCCTTAGTTTTAGGGTCTTGGCTCTGGGCAAACCTGCCAGCCTCTCCCACCCTCTCCTGGGCCTGACCCTCTTCAGCTGGCTTTATCTCCTGACATATGTGCAGGAAGGTGCGCTGCTGGTGTCACTTGTGGGAGTAGACGAGAGCTATAGGAGCCTGGGAATTTCTAGCCTGCCCTCTGCACTAAAGACTAAGGACTCACCCAGTATTTCTGAGGGAGTATTGATTTTTAGCGTGCTGTTCAGCCAAGAACAACAGAGTAGTGGATTATGCCCTTTGGAGCTGAACCGGAAGCTTTTAAGGAAAGGTGACCTCTGTCATTTATTTTTTTTTGCATCCTCCATGTTATACTTTTCATAAAAATCTTAGGTTACTTATTAATTTCTATAACTAATGATTCAGTTACTGACTCGTCTTCGGGAATACTTACCAAACCATGCTGAGTTTGGAAAACGCTTTGTGTCGTGGATTTGGTAGATTTGCGGGTCCCCTCCCAGCTAGTGCCGAGCAGGCATATACAAGAGGGGTGTGAGGGTGCACCCTAGCTTTTCTCCACTTCAGAGGGCTGTTTTCTGTAGGTTGGATTTGTGTCTTCAGGAGTTCTTGACGTCCAGAACTCTTCTAAGGAAGTTCTGCACCCACAGTTGGGGATATACACGTATTACTGATAATAAATTATTCCCTTACTAATAGGATCGAGTGTGTATCAATGTTTGCACACCTCTGCGTTGGTAGAGGAGAGCGCACAGTCATTTACGTGTTGCTTCCTGGTTTATGCCTTTGGCAGAACTGTCTTACGATCCCTAGCCCTAAGCCTCAACTTCAGAGAAGGGGGACTAAGGTTTAGGTCTCCCAGGGCCCTGTCCGTGCTGGCATTTTGTGGTTCTGTTATGTAGGAGTCCAGTCAGTACCAAATGTGGGGACTTCCCCGGTGGCGCGGTGGTTGAGAGTCCGCCTGCCAATGCAGGGGGGCACGGGTTCGAGCCCCGGTCCGGGAAGATCCCACGTGCCGCGGAGCAGCTAAGCCCGCGAGCCGCAACGACTGAAGCCCACGCGCCACAACTGCTGAGCCTGCGAGCCACAACTGCTGAAGCCCACACGCCACGCCATTGTGGAGCCCCGTGCTCCACAGTGAGAAGCCCACACACCACGATGAAGAGTAGCCCCTGTAGGGGGCTTCCCTGGTGGCGCAGTGGTTGAGAGTCCGCCTGCCGCTGCAGGGGACACGGGGTCGTGCCCCGGTCTGGGA